AAATTAGTTTGTCGTCGGCGTTTCAAAAAGGGCAGTGATTTTGTACTTGTTGTGATTATCCTTGCTTTTGTGTAATTATTGCATCAAAAGCATTCTTGATCTAAAACAAAGTACTTTAGTTAAGGTTTGAAATCATGCTAAAGTTTGTCTTGTGGTACCCTTTTACTCATTCACTGACACTGTGTTCATACTGTGATCATATTGTGTTTCACACCTTAATATAATTACAATGGTTGGTAGTACTCAAAAATGTGGACAACCAAAATGTTTGTTCCCTGTGGAGGAAGGAATGCAGTATGATGAATATAAAAAGTGGTTCCATAAAATGTGCACCCGTTTAGGTCCCACTGCATACAAAAGATGTTCGAAGGCTAACTCACATTGGCTCTGCATGTTTTGCTGTACAAATAAGACGTTACTAATGCAGGAGGCTATGAGCCTATTTGCCCTAGTCTGTAAGAGGAACGATGGCGCATGCACTGATAACACGAGTACTGACAGTGACGAACGTGTCAGTGTAGTACGCGCTGTTACGAGACGCCTTAAACAACCGACTATGACTGACGAAAAGTGAAATCTCCATTAAAATTAACGACGGAGTTAGTACAACTTGATACTGATATTGGTAACCATCCACCCCTAGTGGAAACTGAAGATCTGGATAAAACTGTCACTGCTTTAAATAGTCCCAGTGTCCTGAGGGATGAAAAATGGACTACAGTACGGAGAAAACGAAATGAAAAGAAAAAGGCTGTAGGCAGTACGCAGATGGCTAGCAAATCACTAAATGCACTACCAAAATCTGACGCACTGCCAACATCTGATAGTAGGAAAGAAACGTACCATGGCGTGAGTGAGAGGAAGAATCTAATCTCATCGAATATTATTTTGAGCAAATTGCTGGAGTCAAACGACCCTGATTCCGAAATTAGACACGTGCATGATTTAGAGAAGCTGGGAGAACATATTCGTAGTATCTTACCAGATAACTCTCAAGGAGTTCAGGTCAAAAATCTGGTTAGAATAGGCAAGAGGACTGAGGACACTGCTGAAACCCGACCATGCAGACTCCTTAAGGTAATCCTAGGATCGGAGAAGCAACGGGATCTCCTGTTAAGTAGCGCTCGTTGTAACGACAATTCCGATATACGGGTTAGACCTGATATGTCTCTCGAAGATAGAATAAAAAGGAAGAAAGCATTAGCTGAACTAGAAACCTGTCGGCAAAACGGTGAGGAAAACTTCCGGCTAGTGGGTTTTCGGATACTCAGGTCTTGAAAGCGAATGCTACCAAGGCCTGTGTGGATAGGCTGTTCTACCAAGGAGTTTTATATGCCAATGCTCGTAGTCTAAGAAATAAGTTCTATGAACTAGAAGCATAAGTGGACAGATTAAAGCCACTCATTGTAGCAGTGACAGAAACTTGGTTAGTCCATGACTTGGACATTACTCCAGAATTATCCGGATACCATTACCTCAGGAGTGATAGACACAGATGTAGAAAAGGAGATGGAGTCATTTTATATATAGCCAATAATATAAATACCTGCTCCTCCGCTAGCGAATCCCGTGATAGCGGTATTTGTGAAGTCATTAGCTGTAAATTGGCTATCGGATGTAGTACACTTATGCTAGGTGTCATCTATCGCAGCCCAGTATGCTTAGCTGATGATTTTATTTTAGAGCACGTTCGTCTTTGGAGTGCGAATACAAGATGTTTGATAATGAAAAACTTTATTGCACCTGATATTAGTTGGACTGATATGGTCACAGAAGGATCTATAAACTCCTTTGATAGTAGGTTCCTGGTAACAATAATGGAGCGTGCACTAGTGCAGCATGTATCCAAACCCACACGTTCTAGTGCTAACCAAGGTTCTTCTCTGTTTGACTTGGTATTCACTCATGATACTGAGGATATTGTCGACCTAAATATTCTTCCACCCTTAGTGAACAGCGATCACGGTGTCTTGTCATTAACGTTTAGAACTAGGGACATGATATACGATCAGGTTATACCCCGCCAAAATGTATGGAAAGCTAACATATCAGCCATTCAGGAATGCGCTGCTAAGACAGACTGGTTTGTAGATACTAGCTTATCAGTTGAAGAAGCATGGTCTGTATTTAAATGTAAGTTTAGTCTAGTTACGTCCTCGTTCATACCATACGCGGTACCGCGAAGACCGAATAACAGTCCACCATAGATAACTAAAACGGTCAGGAAACTTCTTAGAAAAAGAAAGAATCACTGGAATACGTTCATCTCTACTGGCTTAGAACAATACAGATCCAGTTATTGTAAGATTAGGAATGCCTGTAAAGCGTTAATAAGTAAGACTAGACAATCATATGAAACACAATTGGTTAGGGTTTCTAGATATAGTCCGAAACGTTTACTCTCGTATTTAAAAAAGGCGAACTCAGAGAAGCGATGGGATTCCATCACTTTTGATACAAGAAAATTCGTTAATATTGGCAGAAAATGATACCGATAAAGCTTCAGCTTTATCGGAATATTTCAGTAAAGTGTTTTCAATAGATAATGAGGAACGGCCAACGATTGATTGTGATCGCGGCGGCTCGCTGATGAACCCTGTAGTCATTGAGAAAGATACTGTTTTAAGGCTACTTCAGCATCTCAAACCTGATAAGATCAGTGGTCCTGATAATATTCATTCTAGGATTATGAAAGCCAGATGAAATTGCTGAACCATTAGCGATACTGTTTGATATGTCTCCAAGGCAGTCCAGACTGTCCAGAGACTGAAAAGACGCTATAATAGGTTCGGTGTATAAGGCTGGGAGAAGGGATTTAGTTAGTAACTATAGACCCCTTAGCTTAACTAGTGCAGTTGCAAAACTGATGCAGAAAATCATTCGGATAGCTGTTATAAACTATTTTGAAGGGCATAACCTTTTCTCCAGGGAACAACATGGTTTTCGGAGAGGCATGACATGCTTGACAAATCTTTTTATTGCAAGAGAAGATTGAGCTGCCGTAAGAGATCGGAATGTTCCTATGGATGTCATTTTCATAGATCTAAGTAAGGCCTTCGACAAGGTTTCCCACTCTGGTTTTGAATTCAAACTGGAACGTTTTGGAATCCGTTATACAGTCGTAGATTGTATAAGTAACTTTCTCCATGGCAGGAGACAAAGGGTAGGGGTAAATGGTGCTCTCTCCTCGTGGGTACCTGTAGAAAGTGGAGTTCCCCAAAGCACAATCCTCAGTTTTCTCCTCTTTTTACTTTATGTAAATGGATTACCAACTATAGCAAAATCATCAGTTTTACTCTTCGCTGATGACATAAAAACGTTGAGATCTATACACAGTATGTCCGTTAGGATATTATTACAGAATGATCATAGCTCATCGGTGGCATGGTTGGACAGATGGTCACTAAAGGTAAATCCTAATAAGAGTGTAGTGATGCAAATAAATAACAATAATGAATCGTATCACTACACAATATGTGGATTCATGCTACCCAAAGTAAGAAAGTATAAAGATTTAGGAGTCACATTAGGCACTGATCACAAAACCACTAGTCAATGTAAGGCTGCTGCTGCTGCTACGACAGGCTATAGGGTATTATGGTCTATTCTTAGGTAGTATTTAGATGATAAAATGTTTAGATTATTATAACCGATTTATGTGCGACCACATTTAGAATATGGGATTAATCAGCGAGTCCTTGTTTCAAGTATGGATCAGAGATGCTGGAAAGCGTCCAACGACGAAGTACTACGATGGTACAAGGTCTATCTGGCCTACCTTATGAAGATAGACTGAGACACCTTAACTTATTTCCGTTATCTTACCGTAGAGTACGGGGTGATCTAATATTGGCTTACCGTATACTGAACGATGACCTTGTGTTATAATCTCTTTCTTACAGTTATGACCCAGCTATTCATATTGTTTAGTATTCTCGGACACCGGTTCATTCAACAAGTCCCCAAATCAGAACACGGTTGAACAGGAAAGAGATTATATTCCAAATAACAAGGTTAGATGGAAGTAAGAAGCACAATAGAGAAAACGTTAGTATACTTATAGCTTTTACATGAGAAGATTCCAGAGTATTCTCCAACTATCGACTAGCGCTGATTGAATAAGAATTAGCCAAACAGGGTGCACCAAAGCAATCGTGCATTGAGCATGCTTTAATCCAGTCTATGTCCCGCTAACACCTTGGTATTAACATGTCTTATCTTTTACTTCCGTCTCGGACTGGTCATTTGAGAAAACATTCGAAGAATGTTCAAAAACCATGATCAAATCGGTTACGTCCTGAGTTTCGTTTCTCGCACCGAGTAGTGAATTACTGGAATTCTCTACCGGAACACGTAATATCAGCACCTTCTGTTAATATATGCAAAACGAGATTGGACCTCCACAGTATTACAAACTGCAAGGATTAATATAGGTCGACAGACCTCCTATCCTTATTACTGAAAGTATATTATTAGCGCAGTACTAATATCATAGTAGACCATAATTCTTGAGATCCACAAATAACTATCAAACTGCTTGAAATTAGTGCGGTCGAGTGACTAGACCAACACCCATCAAAAATTTCCAAATACCTGGGACTGCAGAGAAACGACAAGACACGAGAGCAAATGTGCCAATCGGTTTATACAAGCTCGTGGCCAAAAATATTATAGACTACGTATTTATTATACTTTACTAAAACTAGGAAGGTAAGCAGAGTAGTTTATCAACTGATATCACAAGAAATTTCGTTAACTTTTACGGATGTTGCTGTAAAAAACTAGAAGAATATAACATCGTAGGCTATTTCTTTGTACCGACAAATCAAATTGTTACTATCAGCTGTGTACACTGACTGTATTTAGAATCCCTCAAGAGTTTGAAAAAAATCAGTAAAGGTGTCTTGAATAATTATTACTGTTCCTTAAGCAATTAAAAGTGATTTAAATATTAGACTTCAATCTGATGGTCAGTGTGTTTTTTTCGACCACAAAGAAACCTAATGGCATGGCTACATAAAGCCGGGTTAATCAAATATGGGTCTTGATTATTATCAGTTACTGAATATACCTCGAAGTGCTGACCATGCAGAGATATGCAAGGCGTGAGATTTATTTGCTTCAGTAACATTAGAGCCTCCTTGCTCATTTAGTAACGATTCTACCTATAACTGTTGTGCTAAAATATTAATTTATTCGTAATTATAGAGAAATTTTAGCTATGTTGTGTAACACATGCACTCAGTTTATCATACATCTAGAATTTAAGATATGATGAGACTCAAAAAAGTTAAGCGTTTGTTTGGTGGCATCATTTTTGTGTTGTATGCAAATAATTCCACTTTTTTTACTGCCCTATAGATGATAATGAAGACATTTTCACTTCGGAAGGAATTCACCTTGAAATATTATTACTCGCATTATTCTTGTTCCCTCATCTATCAATGATATTTTATAAACAGCACCTGATCACTCATTGAAAGCTGCTTTGCCAATCCTAAGTAATACCCACCATTTGGGACTTAATTTGTTGAATCATCGCTTGTTTAATATTACCAGGCAATTTTTAGTAGACAACACCTAAAGGGTCTAATAGGTTATCAAAACGTTTTGATATCATAAAAACGAATCAACTTATTTTCTGATTGAAATTCAACGTGCTCTGTTTTCCAATACTTCTTTTAAATGAAGTTACCGAAGATTGGCTTTACACTACCATCCTTGCTGCGCTCAACCTGGAGAAGACTTCAGTGAATGCTTTTCGGCCATCTCAGAGGCCTACGATGTTCTGTCAGACTTGAAAAAGAAGGCAATTTATGACCGATTTGGAGAAGAAGGTTTGAAAGGTGGTGCACCAATCAATTCAGAATGGACGAAGCCCTATGTATATCATGGAGATCCACACAAAACGTTCATGTCTTTTTTTGGAACAGATAATCCTTTCAACCGTAATTTTTTCAATTCCCCTATCATCATTTTAACAATCAGGATTTCAGGAAGAAATGGACTCACAAGTTGAACATAACTTCGGAGGTCTTAACGGTCGTGGTCGTCCTCATCAAGACCCACCAATTGAACGTGAAATGTCTCTGACCCTCGAAGAAATTTACAATGGATGTACTAAAAAGATGAAGATTTCCCGCCGAGTAAGAAAAGTCTTATTGAAAGTTTGGTATCATTTATTCACTTTTTTTATTGAAATGGAAGTTCTCCTTTAAATAATGCAAGGAAAAAACGTATTTTCAGGTAATTTCATATACTTGTAAGAGTTAGATAATCAGTGGAGATTAAAAAGGATTGATTAACTAGTCGATTTAATCTGAAACCTCAGCACAACAAGATCTGTACTCTTAATCGGACCCTAACGCCTTTGCGTCTTCAGTCAGTCCTGTAACGTAGAAGCTGACATATATGTTAGTCGGTTCGAATAATCATACCACATTAGCCAAGTGATACAAAATTATCAGGCGAAACCTGTAGGGTAGTATCAGCAGAAGCAGAATGCTAGCTACAGTCTTGTTAGTTGATATGTGGCATATCAATTTACTCGTAGTTACGTTTAACACATCTTCAACTGATTACTATGAAATAAAGTAAATAGAAGATTTCCAACTTCATATCTATTATGCCTTCGTCTATAATTACATTTGTTTTGGCTGGTATATCATTATTACTCGGCTTTTTGAAGTGAGTGTACATTTATCATTACGTATATCAATTGAATACCTCCAGCGTTGGGCACTATTAGTACCTTATTTAAAGAGTTTTATGAGTTACTGGGTGAAAATTGCTTTTATGAAACAATCATTTAGATCTATAATTAACTTTTCATCATGGTGTAGAAAATTAAATTTACGAAATTCTATGTTTTCGAAGATAATGAATGAAGACGGACACACAAGTAGCATCAAGGATAAAATACTTTCATTGACTGTTTTTCCTGGATGGTATGAAGGCACTCGGATCACATTCCCCAAGGAAGGTGATCAAGGTCCAAATACAATTCCAGGTAAATGTTTTACCTCTAACTAACTTCTTTGTTTTACCTAATCTGCTAATTTCTGTACGCTTTAATCCAAAAATTATTGTTCATTTGTGGTTATTTAATGGCTTTTTTGGCCTGTTTTAAAATCGTAGTAATTTATTTAATATCACTATGATGCTGAATGACATTTGCAAAACTCCTTGACATATAGTGCTTCTCAATGGTCAGCGGATTCACTGTTATAACACTTGTGCCTGCTCAAATGCAAACGTCTGTGGACTGAATTTGTAACCCAACTTTCAAGTTGACGTACAATACCTGCGATATATCAACATACACAATGTCGGATCCACAAGAAATACTTTTGAATTCAAGTTGTCGTATTTATTACCAGTACATTAAAAACATAGCAATTAGGATAAAAAACATAAATGAAACTAGTACTAACACTAATAGAAGAAGCCTAAGAATAACAAATATGGTTCAAACTAATCAAACTCGACGACCAATCTTAAACCATTATGTTGCGAGAAAAGCATTTAATATCTTCAAATGACGGAACTATGCCACCTGTATACTTTAATTCGATAAAAGACCCTTCATATTAGAAGTCGATACCTGAAACTTCATATTATAAGCTTGTGAAAAACAAATGTTCAGGATTAGTCCAAAAATGTATAATCCGACAAAGGAAAATTCATTTAGATTATTACTAATGATGTTATTCTGATGTAGGTATCTCGCATTAAAATTATCCTACTAAAAGATTTCTGTAGATGTCATATATACTCATAGCAAACGTCACACCTAATAGTGCTTGCTGATTCTCTGTAAATTGAAGTAAAATATTTCGTGACTTTAAATGTTTAAAGTTTTTCGAAAGATATATATAAAATTCTCCCAAAATGATGCTGATATTTTAGTTTCACTTTTATACAGGGATATTTACCAGCTAATTTTGTTGTTCAGATAAATCAAATCAAATATAACGCAGAATGTGTTGTTTAGGTTAAGACAATCTTCATCGATGATTAAATTTACTTTGAAGGCAGATTTAAGTATTTATAGTCTCCGAGGTAAATTCTGGTTATTAAGAGTAGACAACCCTTTTGAAAGGCAAACCGTCTTTTCTTTTGACATCTTGAGTTGTAGAAACATCTGATAAGTCCACGTTATCTTAATTATTTTTCCTTTTCACGGTTGAAATTACGAGTCGATCTAAGCTATATCACCACTGAAACTTCAGAAGCCCTGGGGGGTCGTTTCTTTCCAGTATGGAACTCTTCAGCAGTGTTCATCCACGATCCCTCACGTAGGACTCGAACCCATGTGTGGACGCTTATCCTCTAGACCGCTGAGCTGGTATCCAACGGTGTTAACGTCTAACATAAATCGATCCATGATCTTGCACAATCCTTTCTCCATTGCCTGAGGTAGATAATTGTCTCACTCACCCAGTGCTCACAGGCTTTCATTAGTGGTCTAGCTTAGAACGACTCATGATTTCAACTGTGAAAATACTGCAGTCTTCACAAATCCCCCTACTCATATTTTTCTTTTTTCCCTTTCATAGCTGACATTGTATTTATTTTACGTGATCATCCACATAAACATTTCAAGCGTGAAGGAACTGACTTAATATTTACTTCACCAGTGCCATTGGGCCAAGCTTTGTTAGGTTGTATTGTAGATGTCCCTACATTAGACGGAAGATTGTTACATGTTCCAATCACGGAAATCATTCAGTAAGTTAGATAACATTTTTATTACTTATTTTCTTACAATTCATTTTATTACAACTAATTGTTCCGAGTGTTTGCAGTATTGTTTCATCATTATTAGTTAACAGTCAATTTTGTTAGAAGGTGGGAAATATATAACTCAGTAATTTAGTTACAATTATTAGTCTAACCAACTAGTCTAGCCTCATTGTAAGTTGTATACATACATCAAATTATTAGTTAATTTATGTCAAGTGCTGTTCAGTTGAGAATATCCAGGTTTGATTATTGGCCGGATAAATAAATGAGACATAACTCAGTGTATTGTAGTATGTTTGCTAATCAGCGGTTGCATCGGTTGTGGATTAGTCGTATTTGCATAACAAGCCTTCATCTACAGTCGTTTTTTGCTTTGCGTCAAGCTGTATTGGTCTTTGTTCATTTGTAACAAGTAGTCATAGCAATGATTTTATATCATTTGTAAATATTTTATTCTTTTAATCTCTACTTCACTATAGCCATTCGACATAGAATTAACGAATAATACCAACAATGTACTTTTTTGGGGCTAAATAAAACAAAATTCATCATGACGATATCTTTTAGAGTAAGAAAGGTTAAATATCAGCGTGTTAAGAAAAAAATGTCTTGAAGAATAAAATCCTAGCGAAGAATCGAAAACACCGATGTTCAGTTTGGTACCCGGTGTAGTTTCCACTGTGCAGAAATAAATTTCCTCTTTGTCTATATACTGGAATTATAATATAATATAGTAATTTTATTTCACGGACTGATTTTAATTAGGCAACTATCGAGAATCACTAAGCACTAGACAGTTGCTTTGTTCTAGAATAAGACTTCTTTAACAGCATACATAAACCACTTCACCAGGGGTCGAACCCAGAACGATCAGGTCTTGCGGCGATCGCCTAACCCTTCTGAAATAGGTAGTTTTTCACATTTCTAACTTTTATCAGTCTACGATATTATGTGACTATAATCCGTTGTCGCTGGTGATATTCGTCTCACTCTCATTATGACAGGGCTCTACTCGTTACGGCTTCAGACTTGGAGCAATATAAACATATTTTTTGTATCAATCATAGGTTAACTACCTTTATTTAGACATATTTCAGTATAAAATAAGTATAATTTCTTGTGGATTGTACTGATTCAGAGATATTTTTATCTGGCTAAATAGTTTTGTTTTGTAATCCAGTCATTCATAAAACCGGATGTTGTTTGTAAATAAGAAACAATTGATTATAGCATCACCTCTTTGCCCAATATGTATATTGAAAAAAAAAATAGTTTTTTTGTTTCCTTTATATCTTATATGTACGTAATTAAGCATTCAAACTAGACGAACATAGTCAATTTACAATTTTAAGTGGATAACAGATAATATCAGGAAGAATGAGTTCAGACCTCATTTTTCTTACTGTTCACTTTTAATTTATTGATAAAATTCACTGTTAAAATCAGCGTTCATAATTTCTTCATTCAAAATTGTTCATTATAAAGTACGTATATGTATAGTGTTTTAGGAAATGATAAAATATATATGTGTTCAAAGCAATTGGTCTTTGAATCCACGAGTAATTCGTTCTCTCCAAATGAGGATTTAAAAAGAAGATCAATTCATCTTAATTCATGGTTATTTTTCCTGTATTAAAAATGATTTTCAACACATTTAAGTTATTAAAAATGGTTACCGAAGGTCCGGAAGTACATAATTTAAAGCAAATATTTTCAATAAAAGAAATAACATTTGTGTATGTATTCTCTAACTACATAATTTCTGGTCTCGATAGTTTGATTGAAAATTATATGCGAAAGTTATATTACTAAAGATTGCAGATTTTAGATAGTAGAAACAATTAGGAAAAGGTTTGCACAGTAGATTATACGTTTCAGAAACTGATATTATTTGAAGAGTTACTGAAAATTAAATGATCGTTAGGGTTCTGTTTTAGCTTGATTAAGGCCACATCAAAAGTTCTCATTTTAAATATTATGTCTTATCCAACAAATCCTAGATGTTAGATTTTATTCAAACGACTCACCAATAATGTGATCACTACAATAGATGACATTGCTAGCTTAAGTCTAATAAAAGTTATAGAGTTCACATTATCACATGATCTAAAATTCATGTATCCGACTTGAGTAGTATCTCCTAGTTACAGTTTTTCTGTAGCTCACACTCATCAATGACTCAAATAACAGTCTTGAATAGTTCAAGATTAAATTGTTCATTTTGTAAAAACAAATTACTTTCTTTATTGATTTACTATGTTCATAAATCTTTCTATCTTTGAAAAACATGGATTTTATAGTCCCAACTATGAAAAAGTAGTGCCAGGTGAAGGTATGCCATTACCTGATAATCCAGAGAAGAAAGGAGATTTACGAATTCGATTCAATATTCAATTTCCTAAAAAATTAAGTGGCGATCAAAAGTTAAGTATTGAAAGAGCATTTTTTGGATAATTTTACCGTTCTTGGACAATACTATTTTTATCATTTTGAAGTCATAGTAGACACTCATGGATATATATATATATATATATATACATATGGAATTAAGAGAAAGTTTCTAAAACGAAGTAGAATAACAACAAAAATTTTGATTTGTTTCTTCACAACTCTGCCTTCTAAATGATAATAATTTTATAAACAGTATATCTATGTGATAAAGAGTTGTAAACATTCTTAGTTTTCATAATGATAATGATAAGTATGAGTATCGGTTTGATGAGCAAAATAAAATATTATTCTACCTCTTTTTTAATGAAATATCTTTTCGGTATGCCGTTTGAAACTTTATCCATGAAAGTGACTAACGTTTAAGCATAACAACTTTCAGATTTCAAGTTATTTAGTTGCTCTACAATAATTAATTCAACCCAAAGCTTGTGAAAAGGATTAAAGGTGTACACTTAGAAAATTATAGTGTCGAAAATAATGTAAATATCTAGTTCTCTTTGACTTTGTTAGGCTCCTTATTTTATTGTCAATCGGTAAATAAAAATTTTAAACTTTTGGCTTGGTAAAAGCATAATATACTGACGGCCTTGGGTTAACCAATAAGAATTAAAATAACTTCCAATCATTTTGTACAAGGTCTAAAGTGAAGTGATAGATAGCATGTATGTTATTATTAAGCAAGTAAAAATGGGCAATATTTGGTTGTTAAAATATTTGAAATCAATGGAAACGCTTATTATACAACAATAAAGTAAATTTCAGATGACGCTTAAATTAAATTTTATGATATACCTGATTCTAAGGCAGATTGTATGTCCAAGTACTTAATGGCACTCATTATGTAATCAAGAGTGTTTAGTGGATCTAAACAATATTTTCTCTTCTCCACTCTCATTCTAAATCCCAACCCAAAGTTTTGCAAGTCTGTAAACAGGAAGGTGGAAAATCATTGTATTATAACTGATGTCAGTTCGTGCTGAAAACCCTAAACTCAATTCGTTTTATAACTAGGCAGCATTTTCTGATTGGCCGATAAGTCGCCCGAGGTCTTCAGTATGTTATACTTTTACCTTTGGCTTTTATGTAAATGCTAATAGATTAAAAATACGCCATGGTATAAAGTCTATCAGGTTATATAAAACAATTTTTGGGATTGGTAATACATTTTATTTTCAGTAGAAAGATAGAATATGGCCTTATTAAACCTGGTGTGTTCTCACTGTGAATATTCTGCTTTGTGAACTTTGAAACATGGCTGGTGTTTTAGATTTTTTTTTAAGCGACTGATACAGAGAAGCATTGTTTATTTGGGTGCTTTGCTAGTAATCGATCAACTTAAAGGGAAGATTTATTGACAACCTGATATCCGCTATAGAACGATCGAAAATTGTGTCATTATTTATGAGTTAAGACCATGGGAAAATTCCCAATCATTGACGATTGCACAATAAGCAAGCTAGAAAACTAACTTTTTTGTTTCAATTCATTGATCAGAAGTAACGTGACCATGCCAAAACTCTAGTAGTTTATACTCACCCCTGTATGAATACGAAGGCACTAGCTTCCAATAACTTAAGTGATAGGAAGAAACAGCTGTCGAGTAGCTACGGGTTTTATAAACTGTGAACTTGTAACTATTTTGGTGGAGTTTTGTTCTCTGAGCTGGATGGTTTGGTCGTGGAGCTTTCATCGTTCTTCTGAACGACATCATCAGCACAAACTTCAGATAGAAGTGAAGTGTTCGAATTTCTCCATATGTGTTTCACAGCTTGTTCTGTGCACCTCGATGTTGATTAGTTCTTGTTGACCTTAAATTTATCATTGTTTACTTCTTTGTTTTGGTTGTTTCTCCCATTGGTTTGACTTTTGTTCCCATATTTATGCATGATTTTCCTGATTGGTTGGTAAATTGGATTGATTTCAATATGCTTGTTGATTGCTGATTGACCTGAGTGCCAGGCTCCTAAAAATTCTCTGGTGTTTTTTGGAGTTTCCTCTTTCTAAGATTTCTACATTTTTCCAATCGAATGAAAGCCCGTAGTTGTCCACGTGTATTGATATAAGTGAGGAGATATCATGGAGTTTAACTGCTAATTGATGTTCATGTAGGCGAAGGTGGAGGGGGCGTCCGCTTTGTCCGATGTAGTGTTTGTCGCAGTCAATACAATTTATTTTGTAGATGATGTTTGATTTGTTTTCCTTTGTTATTTCATCCTTTGGTTTGCATAGGATCGATTGTAATGATTTTGTCGGTTTGTGTGCCACCCCTATCCCAAAGGTTTTCAGCAGTCTCGTTGCAGTTTCTGATATTCCTTGCATGTACGGTAGGGTGATCCTTCTGTTGATTTTTGTGCTTGACTTGGGTTCTGATGCTGCGTGTGGTTGGTGAAAGCTCCACGACCAAACCATTCAGCTCAGAGAACAAAACTCCACCAAAATCATCCACCTGAGCTACAAATCTCCACCATCTCAACTTGTAACTATGTCAGATATATGCAAGAAACGATTGCCTACTTGTGAGTAGTGTAAAATAGTCGACATAATTTTATGTCGATAGATGGGTTAGGAGATATCTTGCAGAGCACTAGTTTTTATTATATTCATTTAATGGTTTACTAGGTTTTCACTTGTTATTAAGGATCTATACTCATATTTATTAAATTTATAGTCCGAATGACATATCTATCGCTAAAGAAACTGAACAGTGGCTTTTTGAGCTTCAATTAATTGAATATGAATCCATTTTACTTAACAGTTTCCATAACGTTCATTATCAGTGATCGGTCTACCTACTAGTCCATGGTTAATATACAGACAGAGTGAACTTTTGATCTAGTCTACGGCCTTGACGCGACGGGTTACTAAGTCCAATCTTGAGATTTCAACGTAAGTTCGACTACAACAGATAGAAGAGCTGTCCTATCACTAAACTATTACTTGATAAGTTGACAATCAGAGAGAGAGAGGGAGAGAAAAATCTACTTAGTTGGAACGTTAATCTGATTCTCCATTGCTTTCAATTCGACTATGACTCAAACTTATACAATAATATGAAGTAAAATCCTGATCACATATCAGTATAATTAAGAAATCATAATAACAACATAACTACGCCATAAGTGGAAGAGAATTTAGTTGTAGGTTCGTAGAAAATTTAATGTTGTTTTCTAGAATTTTCCGGAAATTTTCTGTGCAATGTTGACTGATAGAAATATTCCAAATGCTCCACTGCCTTTTGAAAATCGTTCCAAATAATTATCGACGGCTCCCAAAAAATATGAATTGTCAAATAAAATGTAATAGATGAAAGTGGTCGCACAGGAACCAATGGTTCTTCACTTGTTTTTGTCTTATCAACATATTACTAAAGTGTCAATCATATTTTAACAAACAACTCAAAAACCAAGGAAACTCAAGCGGTAATTGTTTCGTTACTGTTTAGAAAACGACTAGTAATGTTATACTGGTAAGTAGCTATGTTTCTTAATCTAACGAAATAAAACAGCCAATAATGTCAAACACTATCATTGGTTCAAGAATATTTTTAAACTAAATATCATACTCCTCATTTTCTACATATCGAAATACATAAATGCTATAAATAATTAATGAGTTAATGGACAAGATAAATGGTTGTTAAGACGTGTGCAAATAGTCATTTTAAGAAATGGAGAAAAGATTCTAAAAAAGGCGGGAGATAACAAGCAAACTATGTGAAGAGTCAAATGACCTGTTAACTCCATCAGCCAAAAAATTGACAGGGGCTTTCAAATCTTATTTGAACACACATTAGGGTTGTATGCTCGAGTCTCTGTGTGTATACATAATCCAAATTGTTTCAGTTCGCATTTTTTAAGAACATGGTTGAACTTAAGGTGGCATCTTTGTCTAGTCTTGCTGGCGTTGGTGTCGCACTAAGCGCTAGAGCTGAGGCAGCACTAATCGATTGGATCCCCATTAACAGTCAGTTATGTGCTGTTAGATTAGAAAGGTCCATCAAAGTGAGAAGAAATCTGCATGAGGAACGATGTCTTTTCGCCATCTCCGCCTATGCCCCGACAGATTGCAGCCCGGATGCAATCAAGGATGAGTTTTACCACCAGTTATCTGTTCTTCTCCAGAAAGTGCGTTCGACAGATATTGTAGTACTAGCCGGAGACTTGAATGCTCAGGTCAGGCGTCTAGGCACAGAAGAGAGTCGTTTAGGTGTCCGATGGGGACTTGTTGATCGCAGGATAGATAACGGGGACCGTCTACTGCAGCTGTGCACAGACCACAACCTGTTTCTGGCTAGCACTAACTTTCGGCACAGTCATCGCCGATGTGCCACCTGGTGTCCTCCCTCTGCATCTCAAGCCTGGACTCAGATTGGTCACATCGCGATTAGCTACCACTGGCGTGGTTGTGTACAAGACTGTCGCTCTTTTGGAGTGCCTATCTGGACTCTGATCATGCCCTGGTCTGCACCAATCTTACCTTACTTTTCAGTGGCCAACGAATTGATCGTTGTAAGCGGATCGATGTCAGTAAATTAGTTGCAACTTCTGTTGCAAGTAAGTATCAAACCGAGCTAGCTTTTAGGCTAGCTACCACTCCACTGAAAAGTATAGATGAGCATTGGTTGCAACTGCACGACGCCATAAAAATGGCGGGTACAATCAGTTGTGGGTTCGCGAAGCGTCGCGCTTATAAGCACTGGGTTTTTTCAGTCTTCTTGCACCTCATCGAAGCCCGTCGGTCTACTCCGGGTGACCGTAAGTTTGGCCACAAACGAAGGATATCACGTAATTAAATTGAGCAAAGCTTGCGTAAGGACCGAGAAGCCCGCTGGTCGGAGCGTGCTAATGAGTCGGAAGCAGCAGCTGCATCTGGTAACTGCCGGAAGCTCTTTTAACTCGTCCGAGCCACTGGCATCAAGAAGTCAGGTGTGAGCGAAGTAATCTGCGAGGACGACGGGATGCCAATCACTAGCATCCATCGACGTCTTGGACGATGGGTAGAGTTAGACGAAGGGGCAGTTCAACTGGCCTGTTGCACCGGTAATATCCATCAGACTGTCCTGCCCCTCCATGGTCAGTGACAACTGATCCACCAAATGAGGCGGAAGTTCGCAAGGAACTCCAACGCTTAAAATGATATATATCACCGGGCCCAGACGACTAACCCCCGGCTCTTTTTAAATATGGTGGTAACTTTCTGGTTAAGGAACTGACAATGTTATTTACAAAGGTCTGAGAGCTAGAGAGTGTTCCAACATCATGGAACGAGTCGATAGTTGTCCCTATCTTTAAGAAGGGTTCACGTCGTTTCTGTAACAAATATCGGCGGATAAGTCTACTTTCGATTGCGTCCAAACTATTTGCTTCCGCCATATTTCGTAGATTGTTCGAAACCCCAGAAAAATGGACTCACGAGAAGCAAGCTCGCTTTCGTTCTGATCAATGATGTATTGATCATATCTTCACCCTCCGCCAAACGTTGGAACATCGTCATACCTGTCACAGGACAACAATCGTAGTGTATCTTGAAATAAGTGCTGCCTTTGATTCGTTGAACAGGACAGTTATCTGGGATAGTCGATTGAAGAAGGGTGTGCCTGAGAAGTTTATTAATATCCTAAAGGCCCTATAAACAAACACCCCATGTAAAGTGAGGGCAAAAACCAACTCTCTCCATTGTTCCATTCAAACAGTGGGGTTAAACGAGGTTGCCCAACCTCATCACTCCTCTTCAACTTGGCCATCGATGACATTCTGGAAACAGATCTGATGGATGTAGGCACTGGTGGTGTAGATCTGTTGCCTGAAGAAAGACTTCTCGACCTTGAGTATGCGGATGATATTGTCTTACTGTGCGATAATGCCCAAGCCATGCAATCCGCACTTAATCAGTTGGCAATCAATGTCCGTAGGTACGGTATGTACTTTGCACCTTCGAAGTGCAAAGTACTTCTACAAGACTAACAGGATTCCAATCCTGTACTCACCCTGGATGGTGAGCAGATAGAAGTAGTCGAGAAGTTCGTGTATCTAGGTAGCTGCATAAGTGCTGGTAGTGGCGTGAGTGATGAGATCAATACACGTATAGTGAAAGCCAGAGCGGCTTATGTCAATCTGGGCCATCTTTGGTACCTTCCCGATGTCAGTCTGGCTGTAAAAGGTCGGATCTACAACGCGTCAGTGAGAACAGTTCTGCTTTATGCTTGGACATGTCCTACGAATGTCGTCCCAGAGAATTCCAAGTCATGCATTATTTGCCGACTCTGGGACTGGTTGGAAAAAGCAGAGAGATAGTCAGTGTATGACATGGTGTTGGGGTATGAAAGAAAGCTGGGGTCCGAGAGATGGTGCGACACAATGGCTAAAGACGTTATCAGATATGGCTCAGAATAGGAGCCAGTGGCGATCCTGCTGTAACCTTCTTTTACTTTCTTCATAAAAATTGGTTGCTTCTTCCTTAACTGAAAGGTCTCTTCTGATTGTACGTTTCTGTTTCCCCCATTATTATTATTATTACACTACCTTACACTAATCTGTTCGTTATTGTTCTTTTTTCTAACGCTCCCTACCTTTTCTTTTTTTCCTTCTTCTCTTCAAATTCTCATTGTTTCGTGTGGCGCATATATATTTGGTGCCCTCTTGTACCAATATTTATGTGTTCAAATAAAAATAAATAAATAAAATGTGTGTGTAGAAAGTTTTACTCACCCTGTTCAAAAGGAGTGAATTTAAAATCAGGATAAAGTTGACGAAGTTTCGATGCATTCGCAGTTTTCTTAAACTGACCATCCGCTTTAGTTGTGTCAAACTTGATATTAGATTTTCGTCAAGGGGTTTTAAATTGTCATAGGTACATAAGAATAAGAAATCAAGCAAAATTGACAGTGTTCATTTTACTCATCTACAAGCATTCTCCTAAAAAGTTTGAGAAACTGAAACATTGCACTGGCAAAATGAAGTTATCACTCGGTAATAATACTGTAGTGTGTTCACAATATCGATTGTATTATTTATATGCTATGATCTATGTATAAGTCTTAGAAATAGGATATATGTACTACTGTAAATATTAGACAATTATGGCTAGAAAAATGTAACGCCTTATGAAAGTAGATATGGTGTTAATAATAAGGGCCAAGACAACTTGAAATAGAATTGATGATGCGCAAAAAAAACTATTAAGTTTCTGAGGCCGTGTAAACCAGTAATGGCTTCCAAAAAGCTATAAAACAAAAGATGATATTTTTTAAATTCAAACTATGTAAGATAATGTAATCTGTGTAAAGATAGATTTTTATGAATATTTTATTAAAATTATGTATTTGTTAGTCAACCATATAGTGAATAATGAAAGCGTCATTACTCATTTTTCCATCTTTTAAGTCAGTAAAAATTAACCTTAGAAAAACTAGTTATTTGATACTGTATGAAAATGTAGAAAGTTACACATCCCACATTTGGGCTATTGACTATTTATTGCGACTGAATTACAAGTACCGGGATGCCAATATCCTTGGAACGAGACTTACGGTTTCATCCTTTTGAATATCTCTTAATAACGATGACTTCAGTGAAATGTAGTAAATTCGACACTGTTTACTTGTTTTGACGTATCAACGCTGTCTACTATCAAGCAGATGATGAACAAACTGTTGAAGATACGATATTTTGCTCACATTTATTGCGGAATGCGAGCAAGTATCACACCTTTTGTCTTTCCTATGTATACGCTCCAGTATGCAAATGTAAACTGGTGAACACGATTGGAAGTAATGAGGCAGGGATTTGTCCATTTTTGTCTGTCTCAATGGGCAATGCGTTTGATACAGGAAGACTAGTTTAGCGGCTGAATAGGTCATTCGTTAAGTAGCATCTAGTGCAAAACCAATCTTGCCAGGTATTTTATCGATTGAGCTAAGTCGTAAAAGGACTAGGTTTTTCTCGATAGTATATTCCAAGCCCTTCGTTCCTGTTTTCCTATTGTTTCATTTCTGGGATAACTACAGTTTCAATTAATTAGCCACGTAATATTTTATTTTATGATCTCAATTACAACTTCACTCTTGTGTCACTTTAGACTTTACCCACCTTGCTCTATTAATTTACCCACTTCCAGGTGTTGTTACGTAACTTTCGACATTAATCTTCATTTTGTGGAAACTTGTCTCCATGTGTTTTTAAAATGTTTGCTCTAGAATTCCCACACTAATAGATGAAAACTTTTGAATCCTGCTTAAACTGCTACGACTAAACAGACAACAGCCATCCAAGTGCTGAGCTCATCGAAGAAACAGCAGTCTGTAGACACCCTTAAGTGGTCAATCACAAGTGAGACTACAATTTATGGACGACTTTTGAACGACGCTAAAGTGACCTTGAGTGTTCACTTAATAACTAGGACCAAATGAGGGTTATGAACCAGCGTAAGGAATTAGAATTATGACTGACATTTGATGGTTAGCGTTGGGAATTAAATTTAGGATTTTCATCACGAACTGACATCAGCTATAATGCTAAGACTCTCTTTATCCAAATGGATGGGTGAATTTCGCGCCAAAATTTGAGGCCTGTTATTTTATACGTGATTGGTTTGTCCATAAATTATAGTCTCGCCCAACCACAATACTGGTTATTTAATGCTTCAGCTAAAACATATTTTGTCTTCAAGCTTTCTACCGACCTAGTCAAAATGTTGTGATCAGAACTAGATCGAATACTGAAAAACGTTTTTGGCCTTCAATGAAATTTTTTTAAGTTGTAATCTGAACACAGCACAACAACTAAGTGTCACCACTGGGAATAGTAAGTTTCCGCATGTGTTGTTTTTCATTGAATATGAAGTGATTTGTAGACAAGTGGAATTGTTCGGCATCTTGGATTTTTCAGATTATTTATAGAATAGTCCAATCCACAAGTTGATAATATATGTTTTTAAATCCTCAGGAACTTATCTTACACTCAAATTTATATTACAACTTTAAATATGAGTAGATTAATGGTTATTTATTTTTCAGTGTATACTATTCGTTTAGATAAATTTGACGTCTATATAAAATAATGAATGAGCATCTAACATGAATATAGATTTAATTGACTACTTACTGTATTCGTTTATATTCCCTTTATCCTACTGAGGTTTGGATAGCCTGGTAGTACCAGAAATACTCACACAATATGATCAATAACCTAGTAAAAGAATCTCCAAGCAGTTCACGTTGAATTCTTATTTGGATAACGCATATATAGCATTATCAAGTGAACGAAATAAATACGTAGAAATCATATAGATAGCATATTTTGATTGAGGAAACATGATCAAAATAAACGAGAGCAGAAATAATACTAGAGATGCAACCATATCTAGAACGATCATATCAAATTAATGTAAACGAAAAAACACCGCATATTACAGACGAAGTGACATTTCTGTGGACAGTTTTTTATTCTTTTAATCCCGGTTGTGCTAACTTGCAACTCTGTCAAGTCACTTATTTGGCTTGAGTCATCGCCTTATCTTTTTAGTTCTTTCAGATGAGCATGTCCAGTTACTACTTTGCATATAATTATTCTATGGTTAGTGTCTATTTAAAAACAATGTCCAAGTCTGTTGCCAATAATAATAATAATAATATAGTTATAAGGTATCATAACAATAGTCCGGATGTTTGACTGTTCCTTGCATAGATAGTGTTAGTTGTCATAAACAATATTGCGGGAAAACATTTTGATAACGTTATGATCTTTTTATGTAGCAATTATCAATAAAACTATGGATAGGAATATACTAGCTTGGATCACGTTGACTCTTGGGATAATTCATTGTGAAGCACTATAAAAGTACTAAGCAGCTTAAGAGAGCTGGAAGGTAGTAAGTCTTTTGGAAACTTTGTCAACCTGTTAACAGTGCAGTTGCCAACTTCATGAACAGACGTCATATAGTGATTATGTTGAACAGTTTTGGCAAAGTTTAGCATCAGACACATACTAGATCACAAATCTCGTGGATTGCTTCATGGAGAATAACACAACGTAGCCATGCAAATTGATGTAGATTGGTCATATTATGAAAAACGTTCATCCAGATTTGTGCGAATAATTATTTATTTCAACTGAATATTTAGAACATATTATCAGGATTATTACAAAAATCAAAATCAAACTATTTTTTCCATAGCTAACCAGATTACAGTGAAACAGTATAAAAATACATTGAAAATAACTAATCGTATAGTGCAATATCCACAGACAATTGTAGGCACAACTAGCACCGAATAGTTTCATAATTTTCACGGAACCATTTGCAAGTATATTCAATAGCTGAAAAATATACAAGAACAGTGAATAAAAAAATAACTGAAGTAAACAAGATCTGTTTAGAGTATATTAAATTCTGTAGGACGTAGTGGGGTTAGACGAGGTTGCCCAACCTCACCACTCCTCTTCAACTTGGCCATCGATGACATTCTGGAAACAGATCTGATGGATGTAGGCACTGGTGGTGTAGATCTGTTGCCTGAAGAAAGACTTCTCGACCTTGAGTATGCGGATGATATTGTCTTACTGTGCGATAATGCCCAAGCCATGCAATCCGCACTTAATCAGTTGGCAATCAATGTCCGTAGGTACGGTATGTACTTTGCACCTTCGAAGTGCAAAGTACTTCTACAAGACTAACAGGATTCCAATCCTGTACTCACCCTGGATGGTGAGCAGATAGAAGTAGTCGAGAAGTTCGTGTATCTAGGTAGCTGCATAAGTGCTGGTAGTGGCGTGAGTGATGAGATCAATACACGTATAGTGAAAGCCAGAGCGGCTTATGTCAATCTGGGCCATCTTTGGTACCTTCCCGATGTCAGTCTGGCTGTAAAAGGTCGGATCTACAACGCGTCAGTGAGAACAGTTCTGCTTTATGCTTGGACATGTCCTACGAATGTCGTCCCAGAGAATTCCAAGTCATGCATTATTTGCCGACTCTGGGACTGGTTGGAAAAAGCAGAGAGATAGTCAGTGTATGACATGGTGTTGGGGTATGAAAGAAAGCTGGGGTCCGAGAGATGGTGCGACACAATGGCTAAAGACGTTATCAGATATGGCTCAGAATAGGAGCCAGTGGCGATCCTGCTGTAACCTTCTTTTACTTTCTTCATAAAAATTGGTTGCTTCTTCCTTAACTGAAAGGTCTCTTCTGATTGTACGTTTCTGTTTCCCCCATTATTATTATTATTACACTACCTTACACTAATCTGTTCGTTATTGTTCTTTTTTCTAACGCTCCCTACCTTTTCTTTTTTTCCTTCTTCTCTTCAAATTCTCATTGTTTCGTGTGGCGCATATATATTTGGTGCCCTCTTGTACCAATATTTATGTGTTCAAATAAAAATAAATAAATAAAATGTGTGTGTAGAAAGTTTTACTCACCCTGTTCAAAAGGAGTGAATTTAAAATCAGGATAAAGTTGACGAAGTTTCGATGCATTCGCAGTTTTCTTAAACTGACCATCCGCTTTAGTTGTGTCAAACTTGATATTAGATTTTCGTCAAGGGGTTTTAAATTGTCATAGGTACATAAGAATAAGAAATCAAGCAAAATTGACAGTGTTCATTTTACTCATCTACAAGCATTCTCCTAAAAAGTTTGAGAAACTGAAACATTGCACTGGCAAAATGAAGTTATCACTCGGTAATAATACTGTAGTGTGTTCACAATATCGATTGTATTATTTATATGCTATGATCTATGTATAAGTCTTAGAAATAGGATATATGTACTACTGTAAATATTAGACAATTATGGCTAGAAAAATGTAACGCCTTATGAAAGTAGATATGGTGTTAATAATAAGGGCCAAGACAACTTGAAATAGAATTGATGATGCGCAAAAAAAACTATTAAGTTTCTGAGGCCGTGTAAACCAGTAATGGCTTCCAAAAAGCTATAAAACAAAAGATGATATTTTTTAAAAATTTAAGAGACAACTCAAAGTATAATTATAATTGTCTTCGGCTTGAATGAGTACCTGCGGATACAGAAGAGCCCCTATCTGTAAACCGTTAGAAACACCATTTGTAAAGATGTTTTTTATGGAGTTACCTCTGTACTTCATGTAACACACAGACAGCTGGTAAATCTACTAAAAGAGAGAAATGCTGTTTATTAAGTCAACAGAAAGTTAATATGAAAAGGTTTACCGAGCTAACGTGTTGACTGACAAATGAAGAATATATTTAAAAAAATTTTGAAAAGGATACAACGAGTTTAGGACAATCCATCGCCTTGGCCACTGCTTCAGCAGCTTGACGGATCGAAATTTCATCACTTTCGGGTACAGAAAGTATGATTGGAGAAGAATCGTTGTACTCCCGTAAAGCCCATATGATGAGATGACCCAAATCAACGGAATAAATAAACTGACGCAATGGCTTACCAGAACCCCAAACAGTTAAAGGTTCGCCATTCTCTAAGCATATATATAGATATACCATTTAAGGATAAATGTTTACGTACTCAGTATATATAATAAAAACTAGTACATGCATTCCAACAAATCTAAACACAATTGACAAGTGCTTAAATAGATCAGCATAACATAAGGAGGATAAGTCCAGCGACAAATGATCCATGAAGAGATCAATTAAAATCATGTAGGGAACACAAACTTTTAAAGTATCTTTTTATCATAACGTCATATATTTGAGGTGCAGAAACATAAGTGCTGTCCCTGAGGACTCACCACAATACGAAACTAAACATTACCATACTGCACACGATGAATCAGAGCTATCTTTTAGATTATTTACTCAAGACATTTTGTATTATGACACTTTGAATTTCAAACCCCTTTATGAACTTTCGGCAGAATTTTTTATTTGATTAAACTAAGTGTTCACCCATCATAATTTTATGAAATGTCCTCTATGTTGCTAAACATTAAAAAGTATTCTTGCGCATAAATTAAACAAATCAATTAGCTTAAATATTTTTAAACCACATAATTTTCCAAAATCTAATCAACGATGGTGACCTTAAGAGCGACCAAACGAAAAGTTAGTATTAAAACAGTAAATTAGATCCAAAGGCAATTAAACAAAACTAGATAAATTACTTTTAGCCAAGTATGCTTTATGAATAAGACCAGGAAGAACATGTCCTTGATTAATATCAAAGTTATCAAATGGACCAAATACATTGGTAGGTATAATAGATGTATAAAGAACACCAAAAGTCTCGCTATACCCTCTGAAATGAGAAAACAGGAAGGAAAAACTTCGACAACAATTTAGACAACTGAAAACATGTACAGAAAATCTAGTAGCACTAGTCATAAAAAGTCTCTTTTCCCAGTAGAACAAGACGAAATACGAACACTAAAATTCATTTTAAATAAAAGGACACGAGCTTTGAAGATAATACACCAACTAATGAAATTAAAACTTGATTGCCAGACTTAATTTATATACCATCTGGCACTTTGAGTTTATAAGCCATTATAAAATTATCTAACAACCGATTATTCAAAACTAACAACTGATTTGACATTTCATCAACACGTAAAAGTTATCAAACATTCTTGGGATAGTCCATTCAATATCTAAATAACCTCAATAAGAGGTTGATAACATAAAACAAGATAACTTTAGTTAAATAGCGTGCCTTCTGAAGACTAAAAGAAAAAGGTGGGTTTACCTATTCATTACATCAATCATGCGCTTAGCATAAGAATATCCATAATTAGAATCATGTGGAGGTCCATTATGTACCATAGTTTCGTCGATTGGATAAGTTGTACGATCAGGAAATATACACGTTGAAAGACATGAAATAACCTTCTTTACACCAACTGCATGGCTACTTGATAATACATTGTCATTAATATGCATGTTTTGCCGCTAAATAGAAAGTAAAAAAGGATTGTTTAAAACCAATATATAAACAGGGTAAGAGAGTTATATGTAGCATGAAGACTTTTACAACGTGTAGAAACCTGTCATTATAGATAAACTTTTTGGGAAGCCACAGAGATAACAGTTTTGTTACAAATGGAAAGAGACGCCGGAAAATTCCATGCCAAGTAATTGGTGATTATACTTTTAAATAAATACTGTTTTTTATAGATAGTTGACTGAGTCAAGGCTACCGGTATCCTCCGTTCAAAAGACCATGGAGTTTAGCACTTTTACTCCCCGTGAATGAATAATTTGGTATATATATCCACGAATGACGTGTGTTGGCGAAAACCAATAGGAATTTTTGAATCCGTCGGAAATCAACTCATCAGATCTGATTAGATTTTCAAAATAAGTGAATTCGTCGACGTACTTAACTGCTTCATTCTATATCCATAGTTGAGGAGTTGATGCGAATCAGTTCTGAGGAAATATTCTGTGTCTAAAGAAAGAAAACCGAACCCCCAAAAGGCTCGCATTGCAGCTTTAGGCTTTCAGAAGACTATTTTAGGAGCGTCTTCACAAACCAGGACCGCATCATCTGCGTAATCTAAGTCGACACTTAAATTTCCTGGTAAAGAAATTCCTGCAAAGTCAGGTGAGGGGGCTGTCCACAAAAGAATGCCTATGACAAAATTAGATAAATATGGAGAAAACGGATAAACCTGATGAGCACTACTCGACATCGTCAGTTCTGATGACAGTTCGCCATCGGCTCCGACTCGACAAACACTGTTTAAGTAGAGAGCCTGTACGATGTCGATGTGCTCCTTTGGTATACCTTCAATGGCAGATGCTGCCATAAAACTTGTCAATCTATTGAGTCAAACATTGACTTAAGGCCAAGAGATACAACTATAGTTGGGAGTCGGTAGGTAAGTCTATGTTTAAAATCAGACGAACCTGGAATGTCTGTTCTACACAACAACATCCAAGTCTGAAACTAGCCTGGCTTATCAAGGTTCTCTCTCCACGAACCCTAGTTAGACATCAGATGACTGATGAGGCTAACATTTGAGACACTATATTGACAAAACCGATATTTTTGTTCTTTCTTATAGGCTGAAACAAACAGCATAAATCAGGCAGATGGAATTACATTCGGATACTAGACTTTAGCTAATTTCGCGGTCAATCTATCTGCTAAAACTAGACCACAATCCTCAGAGACCTTCGAGACCTATTTGGCAAGCCTCTACCCTGATAAAAATAGACAACTGCTCTTCAACGTGTTCTGCCAATCGTTTCAGTCTCCTGGGTTAAAATCCAATTGTCTCACCTCTTTTCGAAACATTATCGCTAGCTGTCGGACTTTTAATACCTAATTCTTCGATAAATCTGAAGTTCGCTTGAATATATCCAAAAAGGACTATATTTCTTCATTTTAAACACTACTGTCATTTCCTTCTTAACCAAGCTTCGAGATGCTATATTTTATGTAGTGAATCAAGGACAACTAATCAGTGCTTCAAAAGTGGTTTACTACAGCACTTTTTCCATTATTACAAATAAATAAATTTACTTTAACTTACAAAGAATTCAAGATTGTCAGACATATTGGCAAACAAACCGCCAACTTTGGCAGCTAAGTGAATTACGTAGGTTGGGCGCATGCGTTCAAAATACGCCCGAGTAGCATTACTGTCCGTCAGATCAACATCTTTAGAAGATAAAAATATCCACTTTTCATCATTTCGTTTGAGGGAACCGTTAATGTTCTCTAGAGCTAGTCGAATCCCATTTCCCACTAAACCAGAACCCCCTGTAACTAACACAGTAGTTTCCATATTTTAAGTTTATAGTGTTATGAATGAGACCAGGTGTGTTCTAAGCTGACGATTTAACAGTATCTAGAACTTGGATAGATCAGCTTTGGTAAGTATTCTGTAGGACATATAGGCCCTCTGAAAGGAAGAAAGGATAAATTCAGGTCAACTAAATGATAAAAAATGTTTTGGATAAGATCAATTTGCAATGTAAATAACATTGGTTAAATAAATAATCTAATTTCAAAACAAATTACACTTTCACGAGATTCGATTAGCGAAACCACTCTTTTACAGCGAAAAAAATGTAGTCGTTTACTGCATAATCCTAGACAAGTAAACAAGGATTTATTTGTGTCCTTGGGTTTCCATAGGACCTGTCAGCTGAAAAGCATAGAAAGCTACTTGGCTCAAGTCGAAATGAGAGTTTTCTGATAGATATAGCACTTGTTTTCTAAGAGTTCACAGGAACCGGTTAGTAAGGCTAAATTGCAAATTAAACGGAATAAGCTAGTCAAATCACTACCGGATAGTGTTTTGAGAATGCAACAATACCCAACATATTTTTAACGAGCTAGAACGAACCAACTAGTTTCTTGGCGTAAGTTTCTTGATGTTAGAAAGCGGTTTCAGGTTATGGACAGGACCCAGTGATATTTACATATAACCATACAACTGAAATAGTTCAAGTAATCCCAAGCAAACAAAAAGAGGTAATGAAGGTGAACCTTGGGAAAATTTCGAGAAAAACTCTTTAATGTCGGCATGAATATGGGCGAAAATGCATCAAAATGTCGCTGTCTTTACAGACCGTAGTAGGCAGTGCATATTTCCCCCAAATTTCCCCACTGAGAAGGAATGTCTCCAAATTAACACTTCTATGTCCCCAAAAATGACTACTTTTTCCTCAAAACTTACACCGATTGTATAATCCTCTCAGTGTTCAGAAGGCCTTCTGTACTGAAGATTAATGTGAACACAAACAAACGAACGAACAGAAGAGAGAAAATAAAAACGAACACGACGGAAATAACTGGGACATTCCTTAGGAACAGAAGGGAGAAGAAAAGAGGGAACATGACGAAAAGTGTCCTTCGTCGCCTACCACAAGAAAATAGTGAAACTTTTATTCACATGTCTGCTTAGAGAGAAAAAAGCGTATTGGAATTCCTTCCAAATAACCTACTTCACGCAAAAAATAACGCTAAATTGTCGACGATATCGATATCTTTGATTTACTTAGTTTATTGTCAATGTATTTACTAAAGACTGTAAAGTCGAGTTTGCATGTAAACCCATGACCGAGTTTCAATTTTGTCAGACAAAGTCATAGTTTATCATGTCCACGGAACTGACAAAAACCATACCCTCCACCCGACCTTGAGTGACGCTGAAAATGACCTTTTCAACATCTAACATCCGTGGGACGAGCTAATACGAGCCGATTGATTTATTCAAGCTTGCTTTTAATGTTTTTGCACGCTTTCGAGTATTTGGTAATGATTAAAAATTGAAATTTTTTCGCTGAGCATGAACAATGAAAATCAATCAAATTTGAAATGTTCAAATGGTTCAAATAGTTGTGGACGGAATAGAAGAAGCTTTCGCTTAACAGGCTTCCGTGTCTAGTAGCATGGGATCACGAATAGCTCCGGGCAGGAACCTAGGTATGTTAACGATAAAAGAGGAAAAAGAAATTGGTAGATCATAGTATGATACTATCCTTAATCCTTAAGAATAGATCAAGTTGCCTCTTAAAAGACTCCTGGGAAGTCGTTTGGACTAGCTCGTTGGGCAGCGAATTTCAGCATTTGACAACTATTAAGGAGTTGAAGTTGTGTCTACAGTCCGTTCTGCTATGTTGTATCTCCAATTTCTGGGTGTTACCCATTAGGTTAGTGTTGGAACTAAGCTTAAACAGGTGTTTAAGAAGATGTCCAGAAGTGTTAAGGATACTGTAAGTCATTAGAAGGTCACCTCGAAGACGCCTATACTCCAATGGGTAAAGGTTAAGTGATTGGAGGTGCTCTTCATAAGGTTTAAATTTGAGTCCTCGAACTGATTTCCTGGCTCACCGTTGGATACGCTCCAGGGTGTCCTTATCCTTTTGGAGTGAGAGAGGAAACACTATGTTTCCGTACTCTAAATGGGGACGGATGAAACTATTGAAGATTATACGGAAAGTTCTCCCGTCAAATTGGCCAAAAATATTACCAATGTTACCAGTGCAAGGTTTGCTCGGAAGGTATTTTTGTCACAGTTAGAGTGAGACTTTAAATCGTAGGGCACCAGGACTCCTAAATCTTTTTCGACTTGGGATATTACTAGATAAGAGTTTCCTAAGTTTTAACTGTAGTCTGCGACATGTCACAAATGGACTACTTTACATTTTTAGTCGGTCCGTTGTCGTCTGCCCAACTTTGAAGTCGAGCCAGATCCTCCTGAAGTGCCTGGATATCGTCTTGGTTGCGTATCTCCCTCCAAAGTTTCACGTCGTCGGCAAAAAGTAGTAAGTCTGACGTTACCTGTTGGGGAATATCATTTATACAAATCAAGAAGAGAAGAGGTCTTAGTACTGAGCTCCGGGGGACCCCACTAGGACATTTCATAGCCTGATATAAAGTGAAGTTAACCCTGACCTTAAAATGTCGATTTTTCAGATATGAAATGAGCCAATCAATTAGAGGTGGTCTGATACCTAGTCGTTTGACCTTATTGATAAGACATATATGGTTGACTCTATCAAAAGCTTTTGAGAAATTAAGGTAAATTATATCAACCTTCCCCTTGCAATCAAACATGGTTTTCCACCTGTCCACCGCAGTCAGCAGGTTGGTTATACAAGAGTAACCCTTCCTGAAACCATGCTGTTGGGGTGAGTAGAAATTTAAGGACAGTATATAGTCATGCATAGCATCGCATATCAGGGACTCAATGATTCTTGAAGGTATAGAGAGAAGAGCTGCGTCGACCTCCTTTGAAAATTGGTGCGATATGAGCCAGCTTCCAATTTCCCGGTAGTTTGCCTCGGCTAGGGAGTGTGGGAACATCAAGCTAAGCGGCGTTGACAGGATTGAAGCTGCTTCCCTCAGAAAGCAGAATGGGCCATATCCGGGCCAGGAGAAAAGTCTTTTCTTAGGTGCTGCAGTTTCCGGAACACCAAGTCAGCACTCAGGTTCACTACGGAAAGCCCTGTGCAGTTGCAGGTGAAGCTGTCACCAGCATAGTTGATGTGGGTCGGTTGAAATGTCCGAGAGTATTGTTCAGCCAAAAGGTTAGCGGCGTCGCCATCGTTATCGGTCTGGCCGTTAGGACCTAGCAGTTAGGAAACTCTTGTTTTGGCTTGACGAAGAGAGGCTGCATAACGGAATAAGCTCTTTGGAATAGAGACAAATTTATCCATAAGCTTTATCTGGTACTGAAGCCTGTCTTCTCTTATAGCCTTCGTGAATATGTTCCTTATATGTTTGTATTGCCTGTACTCTGCATTGTTGTCAGTTCGTTTGCATTCTGCCCAACAGTGCCTTTTTCGGCTTAGCAGGAGAAGAGTGAGGTTTTTGACGACTGTAGGTTGCTTGTAGCTTTTGCGGACCGTTTGGGGAACTGACTGCTTTGTAGTACATAAGATCGTGTGCAGCAAGAAGTCCCGATGAGTATCCACATTGAGCTGAGGGTGAACATCCCAATCCACCTGTTGTAGATAGTCCTGTAGAGCTGACACATTCAACTGCTTGAAATTCCAGAGCATGTTGTTGGCAGAATATCTTAGCTCAGTTTTGCTGACAAAACTGAAGGCTATAACGGCGTGATCGCCTTTCCTCCAGGGGAGCCAGTATTGTGAGATTATCAACTAGAAATTCGTCGTTTGTAAATAAGCAGTCTGAGCGCGACGGTGTCTGACTGTTTCTCCAACGAGTTGCCGACTTCACATTTTCGTATAATCCCAAATCCTCAATGAGATTGAAGAACCGAGCTTCAGTTGAGTTTTCGCCTCCCGTATAAGTATGTTCCGCAAAACTGACTCTGAGGAGATTGAAGTCCACTAGAATTAGGATATGAATGAAACCGAGACGTGCAGAGTGGGATAGTCCTTCCAGCATACGACTGTCATACTCGATGTCGGCAGTCGGCTTCCTATGTATTACTCCGACTATGCACCTTGAAGTAGTAGACAATCTTACAGACTGCCAAATAGATTCCTCAAGATTTTTAAATTCGAGGTTATAAACTTGGTACACCTCCAAGCAAGATCGTATGTATACGGCTACTCCACTCCCAATTCCTGTTTTTCTGTCGTTGCGAAACAAAGACATCCCAGGTATTGCTAGCTCCTGTTCCGAAAACTGAGAAGATATCCAAGATTCGGATATTCCTATCAGATGAGCATTAGTAGCATTGTTAAGTTCACGTAGCTCATCCATTTTGTTTGGTAGACTCGCGGCGCTCTTCTATAAGTAGTTTATGCTTTCAATTTGAAACGCGTGAGCTTCTTCCTATTTGTCTGTATGAGTCTTACGTGAATGGACAGGTAGCCTACCCATATAAGGTTTGCAGCGTTGGTAGGCCCTGTCATTTACACGTTTTATCATCAAGACAGTCCACAGGTGGAATGATCAGCTCCAACTTAACTTTATGCTTGGTCCTGGCTTCATATGGATTTCAGTCGGCAACCGACGTCCCCTATAATGACACGTAAATTTAATGATTTTTGTAGCCCCCACAAAAATACGACGCCATCCTCTTTTCGTTTATGTTGAATGTTCAACCACACTGTACTTAATATCTACGGTTCATATCCTCGAAAGCCCATCAGCTAGCTCCTGAAAAGCTGGGATTGTTTAGACACAAGCCAAATCATGTGGTGTATTTATGGATAATCCGGTCACTTAACATCCCATGATCATCTCTGTTGCATATGGTTGCAAAAAAAGACAATGGTGATTGGTGTTCAGCTGGCTACTTGATATGACTACTTGATATGAAGACCGCTCTCCATTGTTACCCATTACATAACGTTCACGAGCTTGAAGGAAATCACCAAATTTTCACATATTGCTTTGGTTATTGCATACTACCAGAACACAAGGCATGCTAACGATGTCCTTATAATCTCAGATATCACTTCGGGCTCTATGAACTTTGCGTACACCTTTCCTTATACGATAGGTGGCCCAAACTTTAGTTCCATCCGTCAAAAACGTCTTCAGCGGTCTCGACTATGTGTACCCATACGTTAGCGAGTGTCGTATCTCAAGTTTTGACAACGAATATTATATCGAGCAACTGAACTTTGGTTTTTAATTACAAATATCAGTAAATATTAGACTAGAACAAGTGTCCTTGAATTTTTCAGGCATACCATTGATGTTTAATGGATTCGCACTTTGTAAAATAAAATAGCGGTTATTTTTGATCACTCGGAATCGATCACAATCAAGCAAATTCATCCACTTGACCGAGTGGACTACATTTCGAAGTTTGCTTCAGAAAGGTAGCAGACCACTGTTGCAGACAAACTAGTTGTAGATACTTCTCGTATAACTTCCTTGAACGGTTCTCAAGGAACAAACTTCTTAAGCAACCTCAATTTCAAGAGTAAGACACTGGCAGGGAAACACTGCTGCGGCATATTTATGAGCAGGGATCACATAATTGTGTCGAAACATATACATTCTCAAATAAGTGTCCGAGCAACCATTGAGGTCATAACAAAACGATTTTGCTGGCATGATACGAATAAAGATATGACGTGTTGAGCACACTCCTGTCTAAGCTGCAGGAAATCTAAGATGACTGGACACAACAAATGTCCTTTAGGCTCTTTCAGATCTCACAATCCTCATTTCAACCTTGTTCATCTTGATTTGATAGGATCATTACGAGATTCAACTGAACAATCCTATATCTTAACGTGTTTCGATCGTTTCACGCGATGGCAAGGATCAGTAATGTCAAGGGAACTACTGTTGAAAGTGCGACCTGCTCCATCACCAAACGATGTGTAGCAAACTTCGGCTACCTCTTAGCAATTACTACAGACCGTAGAACTTAATCAGAATCCGAACTTTGTATGGTCGGCAGAACGGAAAAAATCTCGTTTCTAGCACGATGCTGCAACTTCATAAATTCGTTTCCGTCAAATGTAGGTTAAAACCCCTGATTCAGTCAACCTAAGAACGCAATGCGTTCAATCAAACTTGATCTCCCGTGAACACAATCCAATGATGTCTCCGTTCAACCCGCCTTACAATTCGGTCTATACATTTACAAACTTCGATATCCATCACACCAACCCTTCGAAAGTGCATAGGATGAACCCGATAGAGTTCTTCATAGTGAATCCAAGTAGTATACCGTCGATGCGAACCATAGTGTTTTCAGAAAA